ACCTGGGCTAGTGGGAGGTGTCCCTGCCCATGGCAGGGGGTGGCACTGGATGGGCTTTAAGGTCCCTTCCCACCCAAACCATCCTGGGATTCCAAACCCCACCGATTGCCGCCGATCATTTGAAATCCACTTCGGGCAAAAACCGTCTGAGAACATCTCTGCTCTCCCACAGGCTGGTGTGTGAGGGGCAGGCGTGGGAGAGACGTCTCTCATGTTGGAGTTGTCATCTCCAGAGAGTGATTTTTGGCCCTGGGAGGTGTTTTATTGCTGTGAAATTGTTCCTGCTGCAGTCGGTGGTTCCGGGAGCTGGATTCCTGCGGGGCTGTGGCACGGATCCTGCTCCCTCAGCCTGGGGGGAGCGATGGTGTTTGGGGGTGTGGGCTGGGGAGGTAACAGACCCAACGGAAGGGATCCTGGCTCCAAACTGTGTGTTGTGTCGGGGAGCTGCACACTGTGGGCTGGAGCATGACATCGGTCGGTAAGCCCAGGAGGATGCTGGATCTGGGCAGTGGTACATGGGGAGTCCTCCCTGGCCACATGCTGAGCTGCGGGATGCTGGGCTCAGTTGCTGTCTGAGCAAAATACGGGGGTGTTGTTCTCATGGGGAGGTTTGCTTTTGGATTTGCGGTTGGACAATTCTCATCCGTTTGCCCTCGCAGCATCACTCCAGGCTCTTCTCCTGGGCAAAGCAGATCCAGGACACGGGCTGGCTGGGCTGAGTCCCTCCACCCTGTGGGGTGGATGGATTCATGGATGGATGGATGGATGGGGGCTGGGATGCCATACTGGGGCCATGCGCTTCCGTTTTCATCTCCTGGTCCAAGCATGGGGAGGTGGGGAGTCAGTGCCTGGAGCTGCTTTGTCTGGTTCCAATTTAAGGGAGGAACAGACTGGATGGAGCTGGGCCATGTGGCTCCCATTACAGCGAGGCTTCGTGGGTCACGCAGAGAGAATCCGGCCCTTGAGGAGCTCGCCCGGGTTAGCTGGCAGGGGTGGGGGTGGTCTGGGGAGTGCCTGTGCCATGCTCTCCTTATTTCTTGGTGAGGCTCACTGTTTTGGGTGTAATAATCAAAAGGCAAATAAAAGCCACTCTAAATGTTTCTTCCTCCTATCCCTCAAGCCTTGCAGTTTTTCCTTGTCTTCCCATCAGTTTTGGTGGCCTGGCTCATGATTTATGGGCTGCTATGGGCGGTGCACCTCATCAGGCTTCAAAAGACGCTGATCCAGCCCCTACATGTCCCCTGGGATCTCCTGGGCCTTGGCTTCCCTGCACCAGACACAGGGACAGAGAAGTCCTGGATGGGCCATTTCCCAGTGGGTGAGCTCCAGAGCTCCGTAGCTTTGTCCCACTGATCCAGGAAGGATATTGACCCAAGTGGTTTGGAGCCAGTGCTGGGGAGTCATGGAAACCTTGCACAGTGAAACCAAAGGTGATTCTTGGGGTCTGTCCCTTCTATCCACCACCTTCCCCCTGGGCTACAGCAGATCCCACCTGGTCATCTATTTGTTATTGCGTTTTGTTTATTTTGTTGTTGCACACCAGTTTATAGGCAAGACATCACTTATTTAGCAAAATCACTCACACCGATCCTTGGTGCATCAGCTTTTCCTTACTTTTTACCATCTCCTCTCCAGCAGCTGGAGCCGGTTCCTCCACAGATCAGAGCAAAGGATTATTTGAAATAATTTGGGAACACTGAGCTCATCTCACTTGTCACCATGGGTGACACTTTGATTTCCAAGGAGGGAAAGCTCCTGCCTTGCAGGGATGTGTTCCCCCTTGCTCTTGGCCACCTCCTGCCTCTGTCCCATCTCTTGGTCCCCCCTCTCTCCAGGCTGCCTCCCCATGGCCATTACTGGCTTTCCCAGCATCTCCGCAGGGTTAACCAGCACCAACTCCCGGATTCATCGCCTCCATCCTCAGCCTTGTGCTGCAGCAGGTTTTGGCATCTATGGCTTGGCAAGGGGCCGCACGATTCCCAGTTCCCTGCGGATTAATTCTGGTGGAGAACAGACTTCTTCAGTGAGCTGCTGGTGGCCTTGTATTTGAAACTCTGGGATGGGGCAAAGACCAAGTTTTCCCAGCAGTTTGGAAGTGCATGGAGCATTGGAGGCTGGCAGGACATACCCAGTGGCTGCGGTGACAGGGGAGGGCACTGCTGTCACTGGAGATAATGGAATAGATCCAGACTGAAAAAGCTCATCAGTGCTTTCGAGAGAGACAGACCCTTAAAAGCCCAACTCCTCTTGACCTTCTCAAGAGATTTATATCCCCAGGAATGTGCTCAGGGTGTCACTGTGGGTATGTGATACAAGTGGTACATTGGCAGCACCCCAATGACTGTATAGGCAGGGTTTGGGCAGCAGGCAGCTCCGTGGTTTGGGCATCATGGCAGCAATCATCCGGCACCCACTGGGAAGTGGCATCCCAGCCCCTAGTCCCCAGCATCTCACTGCCGAGCATCTCACCACAGCCGAGGGCAGCCAAGTTTTCTCTCCCCTGCCAGCTGATGGGCTCCAGGAGGAAAGATGTTGGGACGGAATGTGAGTTAAGTCCTGAATTTCTGTGTCATGGGCCCTTCTGACTTTTCAGAATTCCTTTTTGTTCCAATCTGGAGAAAAAACAAAGAAACTGGAAGCTGTTACCAAGAGGCAAAATGCTCTAATAGGCGGAGGGGAGCCTTCTACCCCTTTCTTTCAAATGTAAGCACTAACCTGGCTTGTTACATCTCCAAACATCTGATGCTATCTTGCAGATCAAAGCCTCCTTGTTTGGGTTGTAATGAAGTGTCAAACTGTTTCCTTGCAACACAAACAGGAGACACTTTGATCCGCAAAACAAGATGTTTAAGAGCCCTGCTAGCAAGGGCTCTTCAAGTTTTCACAGCGCTGCAGAGCAACAGAATATTTGAAGTCTGAGATTGTTTCACATTGAGACTTTCCAAGTTACGGCAGCTGATAGTGTGTGTTCCTGTCGTACCTGTGCCAGGAATCACAGGAAAATCATCTCACACAAAACAATAGCGAGCTGGAGAACCAAACTGATAATTTTTCTAACAGTTTCCAAAAGCAGTTGTTGGATTTCCCCCCCCCCTCTCCCTTTTCCAGAGGGCTTATTTCCATGGGAAATGTTATCGGAGTCAATGTGAGCTCTCCACAAAATGTCAGCTTGTCTGAAAGATTTGCAACACCACATTATTTTTTTGGGGAAAAAATTACCATTCAGAGAGGCTCAGCTTGAGAGCTGTGCCTGTGCTCCTGCTCCCTTTGTCTTGCTTTCTGCTGGCCCGTCCAACCTGTGCGTGGCCCCGGGAGGGCTGTCTGGGGGTGTCTGTGCAGGGACTGGGCTCGATTCGGTCAGGCTGGAGGTGCTCACGCGTCTCTGCTCTCTTGGGTGCAGGCTCAGCGCTGGCGCAATGAGAACTACGAGAGGCCTGTGGACCTGGAGGGCTCCGGGGATGATGACCCCTTTGGAGATGATGAACTGGACGATGTCTACTCAGGCTCTGGCTCGGGGTGTAAGTAGCTGTGGGGTTCCTGGGGAAGGGTGTCTGGAGTTCCTGAAGGGTCCCTAGGGAGCCTGGCCATGGGCTTGGTGGGACTGGAGATGGGCTTACCATGGGATGTGAGGGAGGAGCTCACCCCTTGACCATCTCCGGAGCTGCCCTCCTGCCCTCTCCTAGACAAAAGCAGAGGGACCTGTCCCAAAGGTTGTGCTCAAGTGACTCCATGTCCTGTTTCAATCTCTGTCCATACTGGGCAGGATTAGCCCTTTCCCAGAACAATTCATTGACCCCAGAGAGGGGCTTTGGTCACCATGTGGGAATTTGCAGCC